GGCCGCCGACTTACTCGACTCGCAGCCTCCCCAGTTCTGGGAGAAGGGAAATGCTTACCTGCTCATCAGGTGGAGCACTAGTGGCTAACAATGACGAGTATATTGTTGAGCAAGTTCTATTGTATGATGAGTCTAAAAAAGTCACAGCATGACAAGACCTTCTTTCCGACCTGTTACAAGAGACTCCGCTTTTGCATGTGGGAGGCTGGGCGCACTCACGCCGAGCAAGCGTGCCATTTGTCACTAGGCAATCAAATCAGCCCTGAGGACGAATTTTCGTCAAAGTCTGAAATTTTGACCAACTTCGAATCGTGAGGCAGTAGCAAGTCATGTGTGAGTGCAGCTGTCGCTACTACTGTTCCCATCATCGGTGACTGGCTCTGTAATGTAGCCAGCTTCTTGGTATAGGGGTGAGTTATCCGGAAAGAAGTTAGATGATCCGTAGTGGCAAGGCGGAGCCCCGAAAAAAGAAACGTAGCTATTGCTGAATGGTTGTGAACGAAAAATAGACCGATGTGCCCCTCAATGCACTCAGTATTGGAAAACAATGTTATGAAGTCCGGAGGACGATGCAACGCATAAGTCAGACACTGCTTTTCTCCGAGAACAGGGTTAGAGCGTTGATTCAGTCACAAGACTATGTTTATATCAGTTTAGTTCTAGATCTATGACTGGCGCTATACAGACCACCATGTAACCCATGATTGACGCACTTTTTCGAAGTGTGGGGAAATCTTGAACTCGGACGTAACATTCTATCCAGGAGCATTTCGACTCCCTGATCACAAATACCTCACTTGTTCGACAGGAAAACGCGTGTAGGACTGAAAGAAACGAAGAAGGATGCCATCAGGGAATCGACCCCGCGACCAGTTGCTTGCAAAACGGACTCATTACCGGCTGAACTCCACCACCGTGATCGGGCATTACCTCACAGGCTTTTGAAGACCCCCCACGTGGCAGTGCGTAAGGTGGTGTGGGCAAATAAGCTTCGTAGCTGCGATGACAAAAGTCTCAAGACGCGAGTGGTGGTGACACATGCGAACAATCGGGCGTTTAACGCGGCGCGGTTGGAGGTACAGCCATGCGGCCTTGTTCCAACAATCATGTAATCCTGAGTCTACTACAATTGGTGGAAAACCTGTTTTGACTGCGCTCCAAGTCACGCCGCCGTCCTTCGCTATATCGTTTCCGGGGGTAACCACTGTACGTAGGGGTGCATGCCATTGCAAATGGCCAGACCAACCTGTTGGAGTCCCCTTGTAAGTTCAAATTATAGAACATACCAAATATCCAAGCGAAATAGTAGTTGACTCGGATCAAGAAAATAACGATGAACCACCACATGAACCACTCCATGTATGGCAGCGCAAGGTACCTAGAAAGCAATTATTGAGAAAAATGTCGACCGAAAAGATGAAGCTACAGCAATAATACCAGGCTGACATCGACGAAATTTTTTTACAAGCGAGTGAAGTTCAATAAGTCATTTAAGTAATAAAAAGGCAATTATCAAGAAACCTTCAGCGAGCGTCATATATGGGGAGTGCGTTGAGCTATTTTCATCACGAATTGTGAGCAGACCGTCTACCGCAGCTATTCCACGCATAGGTCGCGCGGGTGAGATTCCCTAACTATGAAAGAGCGATCTAGCCAATTAGTATGGCGGGCCACTGGGCGTCGCGTCTTTGTCTCTGATACGGCGCGTAATGGCGATGGGGTGAAAGCCTTTCTGAAAGAGGTTCTCGGAACACACCTTTGAGCAGGAATTGTTATGAATACCGCGTTCTAATATTAACATTGGTACTGTCAAGGCCACTCTGCGCATATCGCACACCAGAGCAGACAATTCTGCGAACACATGTGAAAGTCAGAGCTTCTATCAACGATCATAACTCCTTAAAATAATTCGGGAAACGGGAAACATGGCTGTGAATAGCTAGACAGGCAGAAGTTGGAACGCACTGAAATACTTCGAGTGCTCCATATATCAAGAAACATCTCCGAGGAAAATTCAAAGAGGATTTTGAGAATCGCATGAGATCTTCCATGCTTTCAATGATCAAACGTTTCGATGTGTGACGTTTTTCACATTTTATTCAAAGGGCTCGTACCGCAAGAAGTACAGTCATCCATCCTTGCAAACGAAAAGATATGTGAGGGGCGTGGACTGAGCGCAATCAGACGGCTGAATGATGCCATCCTGGACCTGCAACAGTTGGTTCAAAAAATCTGCCAAGGCTGCGCTCCAATCCGCGCCCCTTCACATGCCTTCTTGTTTGCAGGGATAATGACAGAATTTTGATGGGAATTCGAGCAGGAAAATCCCGAGAAACTCTTTAACATGGCTATTTCTGTACCACGGCAAGTGAATTCGTTTGAAGATTAGGCATATGACATGGAACCTTCTTTTGAAAGACTGAGCTGTGTGTACTTCATTCGGCATTGACTGGTTGCATTTCTGTAGGTGTCACGCGTAAATATTGGCGTACTTCGACTCACGCGCAGAGAATATGAGAAAATGTAGCCTCTACATGAGTGAACATCTAATCTATAAGGTGAGGCTCTAACCTGCAAATGTGAGACATTTTTGGAAGGTGGGCGAGGCTGCTAAGAAGCGGGGGGTGCGAATCGGCAGGATAGAGTCTCAGCTGGCATGACACGGTCTCACTCGCCATTTGGAACTAACAAGGGAGGTCGTTCAGGGCGTGTCCCGCTTTTTCGAAATGGTTTTTTGTATTCTTGTAGGGCCTAGCACATAGACAACGAAGATTGGCTTCATTTTCGCTGAGCGTTCCCACGAACGTAAAAAATGAGCGAAAAAGAAAACTATGTGGAGCTCTTCTCTCTAGCCTCTATGTTCTTTCTGTTCAAAAACTTCTAAATCACTTGCAACCTTGGTCAGTTGCTGAACGGAGGGTCTTTTTGAAGGGACTATTGAGAAGGAGGTGAAAGTCTTGTCGCAAATGGGGTTTTACTTGAGTCACGTGCTTGCTAGTGAATGGTTTCTTAGAATAGGTTCTTAAACGTTTGGAGCTGCACAAGTAGTCGGTGCCGATGGCCTAGTGGCTATTGTGGAGAATTCTCGTTCGGGCAACAAGGGTGGGGTTGGTGATTCATTTCCCCACAGACCGAAACCTTATGCACTCTTCAGCCTTTGCTTCCCTTTCGTCCTCAAATGTCCGTGCATGAATATAACTCGGATAACTGCCATTTATGAGCACATTTCAAATGGGGATACTGCATGAATGGTGCTTCAATTATTTCAAGTTTCACATACCTTATCGAGCAAGATCGTAGCTGAAAGTTGATTTTCAGAGGTTCGTCAATGCCCTAATCACAAATATGGCCTCACTAATAGCTATGGTGCCATTTACGGCCAAAATGGAGCCACATCTTTCTTCCAATGAATGCTCTTCCAATGATGCACACATAATTGGCATAAGTGTGGGTAATCGCGGCATTCGTGGAAAAGCATCCAGGCCCTTTCTCGATCCCTACTGCCTGCTCGCTCAATAAAGATGTCGTTCTCCCCTACCGAGAAGACAGAAATTGCACTCATTGAAATATTCAACTTTTTTTGAAGTCGACCGGGACGAATACTACTTTTCCTTCCTTTTTGCCTGAATACCATCGATATTGTTAGTTTTATGTTTATATATCAATAAATTGGGGAATCCGCATAATGAGGCACTGTAGACTTCAATAGAAAGACTCTCGGGCACAAGCCAACACACCCAAGAAGGTCAAAGAAATTTTTTTACCGAAATTTTTTCTACAAGTGTGATCGATGGCCCTGATCACATAATTTCTTCCGATGGTGCACACACATAAGGGACGTGTAGCGCCTCCTGCCGCCAAATCACGTGTGGGCCGAAAATAAGTGGTAAACTGTGATCAGGGCCATCGATCACTCCTGTAGAAAAAATTTCAGTCAAAAAAATTCTTTGACCTTCTTGGGTGTGTTGGCTTGTGCCCGAGAGTCTTTCTATTCAGGTCTACAGTGCCTCATTATGCGGATTCCCCCATTTCTTGATATACAAACATAAAACCAACAATATCGATGAAACTCATGCAAAAAGGAAGGAAAGGTAGTATTCGTCCCAATCGACTTCAAAAAGTTGAGGATTTTAAATGAGTGCAATTTCTGTTTTCTCGGTAGGGGAGAACGAAATCTTTATTGAGCGAGCAGGCAATAGGGATCGAGAAAGGCCCAGGATGCTTTTCCACGAATGCCGCGCCCGCCCCCCCCCCCTTTACTTATGCCAAGCAGGAAATGACCTTGAGCACACCGAACCAGCGATACGGCTGCTTTGCCCGGCGGCCTGCTACGTTATCGTTACATCATCGGCTTTACGAAGATTTGAGACCGCGGTCACTACAGCAGACCAATGGTCTACCACAGCTCAAAGAAAATCGAAAAAAAATCGAGGGTCCTGATTAGGATTTTGACACTTATTTCCGGAGCCGGCGCAAATTTGCGCCAAAAAGGCGCCGAACGTCCCGTCTTATGTGCAAGCTCCTACATAACGCGAAAAACCATTTTGAAAGACCATATGGTCTACCACAACTCAAAGAAAATCGAAAGAAAAAATCCTGAAAGTTCGCCCACAGGGGTAATCGAGGGTCCTGATTACGGATTTTGACACTTATTTCCGGCGCCGGCGCAAATTTGCGCCAAAAAGGCGCCGAACGTCCCGTCTTATGTGCAAGCTCCTACAAAATGCGAAAAACCATTCTGAAATAGCGGGATATCCCCTGGACGACTTTCCTCGTAATAATCAGGCAAAGTCTGTTCCGAGTGACGATAAGACCTTAGCATGCAAGCCGAGATTCGATTAACGGTGAAATGTGGGAGTGGCTGTAGGGGCGGGGTTTGTAGCAGTTTCTAGTGAGGCACCGGCAACTAAGCCTAGAATTCTGCTTGAAAAGTCGTGAATTTGGTTTGAGAAGAGTGAAAACGGTTTATTATATAGAATATAAAGCAAGCAGGCATACATTGCAAACAGAGATACATTAAAATAAGAATAGAAAGAAAAATAGAATTTACAAGTTGACGGGACCCACTCCTTCTCAGCGATGATCTCTGGAGGATATAGTGCGCCAAATCTGACTATAATTATCAAATAAATAAAAGATTCAGCCAGTTTACGAAACGCTGCACCAAGCGCCGATGGCTCCTGGAAGAAATGGTATTTGATGAATTATTTCAATAATCCGAAAAACGTGAAAATTCCGAAACCCCAAGTCACCTTGCCGTCTTGACCACGTGTAATGTGTACGCCATCAAGGAATGCGACATAATCCGAATAGTAGTTCACTGGGCCAGTAAGTGCCGTCTAAATCGTGCTCAGAGTTATATCAATTTGAGAACTCCTAAGGAATTTACCCATTTGTTGTGCACTACGAGAGTGCGTCCTACAAAGTCAGCGGAAGCAGAACTAACAAATTCCCCACCATCGAGTCAAAAAAGCCGAAATGTGGAAGTGGGACCTGGTGGCGAAACTAAAGCTTCTCTTCAATGAGTTGGAGACGGACTACGTTAGAATGAAGACAGACATCACCTGCCACGTGTGCTCCCCTTAATCATCGAGTTCCTTGAGCGAGTGCCAGCTCCATCCATCCCTGAAGAGTCGCCCAATGGGCTCTCTCTGCTCGAGGGACACGATGAACTTCATACCATTCGTTCAGAGCTTTCACGAAGAAGTCTGACCATCGCGTCCAGGTGTTCGCTTGACATCCCGTGGAATCCAGTCGGTAATCGCTCTCATTCAGCGGTCGTCTCCAAAATGCACGACGTGATCGACCCGCCTGATCTTCCAAAACTTGGCAAATGCGACTGCGTCTCTAATCTTTGATCGTCGGCGAAGTGCGAAGCTCCGGATTCCTTCTCCGGATCCCCTCCACCCCCGCAGCCGAAATCAGCCAGCATTCGCTCTCGCCTGCCTAGATGTTTCGTGCTTATCAAAACGATGTCGTCAGCAAAGCGGATATGGTGTAGTTGCCGACCGTCGATCTTCACTCCCATGTCTTCCCATTCAAAGTGACGCATGACATCCTCGAGAGAGGCACTGAAGAGAGCTTGGGCGAAATGGTGTCGCACTGTCGGACCACTCTCTCCACGTCGATGACGATATTCTTGTAGAATGGTAAGATCCTAGTCGTAAAGTTGCTATAGAGCTCATGAAGAATCCTGATGTAGGAACAGGAGTAGGAACACCATGGTTGCTCACGGCCGTGAGACATAATGACATCTTGTGCTCTCGCGATGCTTCAATGACTTCTTTACCGTGTGGTGTGATCAATCGCGCTATCCTCCCCGAAACCCTGCTTGCCCGTATGGCTATTCTCAGTCAAGTATTCTTCCAATCTTGTTTAGGATGAATCGTGCGAAGGGTTTGTAAATTACAGACAGCAGGCAAATTGGGCGATAAGTGCCTGTGTCGTGCAGGTCTCCCTTCTTGTAGAGCAATTCAGTCCTGCTGGTTTTTCACAAGGTGGGTACATTACATTCCGACAGGCTGCGCGTGAAGAGTTGCGCTAGGTTTCGACGCAGAAAACTGGAGAGGATCCTTCAGGTGTCAGGGTTATGTCTTGTCACATGCACATAGGTGTCGTACGATTCTTCGTCGACGAGATGGCGTGCTAATCTTCGGAAGGGAGAACTGCAGGAGCGATGTATCCATCCTGTTCCAAGCGTTGCGGTGGCAGGTGGACGTGGCTGTCAAGAGATCAGAGTAGAAATCGTGGATGTTCTTCTACATTGCTATTCGATACGCAGTGATTGTTACATTCGGACGTCGAAGGCGGTCATCTTGGTTTTACGGTTGGTGGAGTCGCGGGGGGAGGGGCGTTGCGGATGCTATTCCAAGCCTCTGCGGCTTCCACCAGTACCGCCGCCTTTTCTCCTTGAGTCTTCTTTATCGCTTTACTGCTCAGGCATCGCAAGCTCTAGACGTCAGCTGGTAGTTACGCTGCGCTTGTGCGGCTCCCACGTTGTGCCAAGATAGCTCAAGATTGCCGGAGGTAAACGCTTTCTGGTAATCTTAAAAACACCTTCTAAACTTAAAGACAGCCCCCGCGATCAAAGTGGCTCGTGGTCGCCTTTGCTGTGCAAGTAGTCTAGCCTCCAAGCTAGAAGACTGTTCACCTTTCGCGACTCTATTGTGAGCGTGAAGGCTGCTATAGCCGCTCAAAGTGCTAGTTCTAACTCCTCCTAGTCAGTTCTGTATCCGGCGTTTTTTTTTGTTTTCTATCTTGCTAGATGTCCTTCCTTACTGATGGCCTACTCACTTGTTTCTTAGTTGGGTTTTTTTGTGTTTTTTGCGTGGGCTATTTTTGTCTATATGCCTTATTTAGATAATTCTGCTCCTCTTTATACAGTTATTTCTTTCTATTTTATATATATATTTTCATCATTATTTTTCATTTCGCGAGGTGAAACGCGTAAAAAACACGAGTGACGCAATTTTCGTGATGCAAAACCACGACGCACAAAAGGTGCGCTACCGTAATCACAAATTCAGACACCGTGTTGATAAAATTCCTTTTTCCTTCCCAGAGTTTTTCCTCTGCGTTTTGTTGTTTTCTTTTTGTATTCTTTCTTTTGCACTGGATGATATCAACTACTGCGAGATGTGATAGAGAGACTTGTGAGCTAGGGGCTGCACAGAGACCGCAGGGAGGTGTAACTGTGAGGGAGCGATTTTGTTTATGTTGTTCTGGAGAACGCTTCTTGCCTGTTTTCTTCTTTGGGAGATTACTTATCAGCTGCTGTTTCATAATTGGAAAGCAGCTATCCATGAGACTTTTATCGCGGGAGCTGTCTTGCGCGGCCTCTGAGGGATATTGCAGAAGCACCACAGTTGCTCTTGAGTTCTAGCCCTCGTCATCATCTTCGGTTCTTATTTTGCAGCACCTAAAATGTTATCCGCATAAAGAAATTGCGTTGTACTTGTATTCCAAAGCGCAATTACAGGACTTGGCAAAAAGCCAAGAGAGCTGCACGCGACCGCGCCGCGCGGACGGTGTTAGTAAAAACGTGAGGGCGGTGTAGCAAGGAATTACGACTTTCCCACGGCCCCGTACTCTGACCCCGTGCAGTTTTGGGCGGGGGACCACGACACATCGACAGCTGGGGGCTGATAGTCTCATACACCCTCAATGTGTTTGAGCGTACCATGTGTCTTTAATGGCGCAGTCATGAAGATGTGCGACAAGCCGTTCGTATTCCTCGTCGATGTTGTCGATGACGGAATCCTCCCAGAGCCCAGCGAGAGAAGTGAAGTGATCCCAGTTGATGACGGTCTTGGGGCTTCGCTTCTTGAACTTTGCGGCTCTCTCTCCTCCTCGCATCGAAAAGCGGATCTCGCGCGAAGGAGATGGTGGTCGGATCCTGTGTAGAACTTAGGAACAACAGCAACATCGGTCAGGCAAAACCTTCGATCGATGTGATATGGTCGATCTCATCATAGAATTGCCCAAACCCCCATGTCCAGCGTAGAGAGTAGGGCTTCTGGAACTGCGAGTTACCATGGATGGTATGGGTCGACATGATAAACTCAGACAGCCTTTCACCCTGCTCATTCCACTCCGTTCCGTGAGTTCCGATGTGAAGTTCTTCAGCCGTTCTTCTTGGTCCGATCTTAGCGTTGAAATCACCGACGATGACCTTGAAGAAGGTATGATCTTCCTTGTAGAACATTTCCAGTTCCCTTCGAGCTCATCCTCGTCGTAGCTTGATGTTGGTGCGTAGGCGACGAAGATTGTCAAAGCTGGAGTTGAACCACATCTTCTCAATCGCAAACGTCCGATTCGGGTCGTCAGACGTACGAATCGATGTTCATGGCCAAGTGTGTTGACGAGGATGCCCACACCGTCAATGCCTCTGCTGTTGCATGTTCTGAGTACAGTTCTTTTCCGAATTCGTATATGGCGTGTAACGGGCGCTTGCATCATCACATCTTCGATGTGAGCTTCCGGAGCAAGCGTTTGTGCGTTGAAAGTACAGATTGTCATCCTAGTGACTGGGACTGGGCGACTAAATTCTCCGTTGGCCCTGTTCTAGCAGCCTCGCCCGTCCCAACCAATGTCGCCCTGATTTAAAGACGGTCGAGCGGGAATCAATAAGACCCGCTCTCGTGCTATAAAAGGGAGTAGCCGGATCAGTCAGTTCCTTCCTCGTCAGCTCTGCCGGATAACCGCCCTTCCGCTACCCCTGGTGTATTCTGCTTTAAGGATAAATAGTGCGATCACGCGATTCCGCTGGACATCCGATACACACATACTACCTACAATCCTACATGGGGGCCGAGTTTTGGGAGCTTGGTCGCACGCCTAGGTTAAAGCGCTAGACAAAAAGAAATCCCTTAACTTTAGCACTAGGAAGCGGAGTTCCCCTCCAGCTTCCTAAAAGTGCAAACAGCTCAAGAGCCGCTGAATCGCGGTGGAGCTGTGCAGCTACCGTGGGGTAGCATCACTATGTTCGATAGCTATCCACTGTCAATCTTAGTGGGCGGGGAAGCAATTTAGGCAGAACTCTGCGCAAAGTTTGCACAGCGGTTCCAGAAGCCTCTCCCGGAGCTACTGGAAAAGCTCGATTACCCAAGCTTAAGTAACCGTGGATTAAGGTCAGCCAGGAAGAGCAATGATTGGGATTGAGGAAGGAGAACAGCGTAAATCGTAGCAGATAAATAGCGTAGCTCCTCTGTTGTTCTCATAAGCAACAGCTATCGTGTTAGTGATACCGCGAAGCTATTTTTGGTCGAGTGCACCAGAATATAGGTTGTTCTGATAGCGCATTTCAAGACAGCCCCCGCGCTCATTCATTGTTGAGGCGGCAGGCATTAATCGGAATTGCATGTCCTTTTTGCTGACCACGCTCGTGCCCATAAATAATTCTGCTCTCCTTTATTACATTTTATTCATTGGGAGCACATGCAGCCAACTGCAACCCATCTCGCAAGGTAAAACGCGTAATCACGAGTGATGCAATTTTCGTGGTGCAAAAGCTTGACATGCACTAAAAGATGCGCTACCGTAACCCAAGCCCACACGCCGACTTTCTGGAATTTTCTTCTTTGAACGTAATTCCCGTCCGTGTTTTTGTTGTTTTTCGTATTCTTTTCTTTGCATTGGATGATATCCACTACTGGGAGATGCGATAAAGCGATTTGTGAGCCAGGGGTTGCACAGAGACCGCAGGGCGGTGTGACTGTCAGGGAGCGATTTTGTTTATGGTGTTCTTGAGG